GCTTAATTGAAACCAACTCACTGGTACATAATCATGTGATTTTCAGACGCGAGACATCAAATCTACATTATGAGTTGAAGTTGTTGATGGGTGATTCATTTGGGAGATATGACCTCCTCTATAGGTTTATTTGTATCGAAGGAATCCTCGTATCTATATAGATCTTTCACTGCTGTTTTAAGCCCCACGCTCATGTGCAGTACCGATTCTAGAAAAGTATCTCAAATTCGCTCTCCGTAGAATAACGCCGCTACTGTTGTATGCGTTTTTCTCGCGTACTTGCTCCCTCATCGCGTTGTTTTTTCTTAGTTTTATGTAGTTTTCGCAATAATGTTTCGAGCTTTATCTCGCCAAAATTATCAAGGTCAAGTGCGGTTCAGTATGTGCGGAAATGATGATTGATGTCGGAGCTTGTTTTCATTCAGAATCGTATAGCAACGGTGCTACACACTCGTGACTATCAGTTTGGATAGCCACGTCAAAAAATAAGTTTTCTTGCATTACCTGCAGATGGACATGACGTGTGAGACCAGTCGTCACCTCATCAAAGCGAAGGTTGCTTAATTGTTACTTGAACCACACTGAGTGCGCCCTCGAAAAAGTTCATTTCGACTTTCTGGCGTTTGTGTCGGAATCATCGCTCGACGCTTCCACGTGAGGTGCTACCGTTCGTGACGCGGTGGTATATCTGCACAGCATTCTACGTAAATCAGTGTGTACGACAACCTATTCTACGGCGACTCCTGAGAAGAAACCCCTTCATATGATCCGAGCAAACGGACACAATATAACGTTTACCAAATACCTGCAGTGTGTGTGTGGCAATATTATTTCTTTGTTTATTTTCCAAGTATGTTAAACGGACAATAATGGCAGCTAATAAGTCAACGTTGAAAGCTGAAATAGCGATCCAGAAACCTAGTAGTGCTTTTTTTGTGCCAAGAGAGTGCTTATTACTCAATAAAATCCAATTTTAGTGGTCCGCATCGGCTTGGCTCACTTCGAATTACCCGCCTCAAGCGGAACGTCTCACGTCACTGTGGCCGTTGTTGCCGACCGGGGTCTACCTGACGTGTCCCCGCTGACGTGGGTTGCCGAGACGTCCGGGTTACGTCGAACCCAGACACCTGTGGTAGCGTGGATCAACTCCAGGTGAACGAAACGATGCTTGCAATTTGGAGATACGAAAAACAAACTGATTTACAGGCACTTAGTACAATGATTTAGAACATAGAATGGTAGAGTTGAGCAAACCACGAGCGTGGTGGATGAGCCATTAAACCACGGTTCAGAGCAACGTTCAACACTTTGCAGCGTCGTTTTAAGCACTGACGGGCTCCTTCTCCTTGTTTAAAACACCATTTACATACATGACACTACCCACCGTGGCATCAGCCATCAACATACGGCCGACGAATGGTAATTGCACCTACTGCCGCCATGCTCCTCCGGTCAGTTTTCCTGAAGAGAGGGGAAGTGAGGTCCATCACGGAGCAAGTTGGCAGATGAGTGCGTTCGGCAATCTTTCCCTGGAAGGGCAGCAAAGGAGTAGCGAATCTAATCGCTTAGTCACGACATGCGAGGTCGGTCGGCCACGCCGCCTCTCCAAATAAGCGATCATGGAGGAAATGCCTGTATATTGGCTCACGGGCCGTCGAAGTTGCCACACTCTTATCCCTTTGTTGCTTCCCGCTGCTTGACGCTCGTTCCCAGAGAAAAGCACTGAGGTGTCAGGATGTGGGAACGCGCCCTGGCTGTGCTTCTCATGGACAGCATATTAGCGAAGAAAGAGAGTCCCAACATCATGCACAACTTTTCCCGGCTTTACTGCGCGTATACGTTGACACTAGTAGCAGCAGCACGAAAGTAGAGGGAGCCACAGCAGCAGCAACGGTCATTGAACAATTTTCTGCCATGGCCTCCGAGATGGCAGACATGCTTGATTCAACTGGACCTCGCTAGATGGCAAGGCCTGTCCAGTTTAACCACGCGAAAATTGAACTCCTGAAATACTCACGCCATTCCCCATAGTGATGTACGGCGGTTCTTTTTTCCATGAATCAAACAGAAACGAACAAACAACATTTTATTGCGTATTTTAATGCATGGAAAACTCTTTATTTAGTGCAGCTAGTTCAATTGCCAGTGGTTAATTGTAGGCAGTACCTCTCACGTCATCGGGATTATTTTTCAAATGTCCTACGCATAGCGCACGTGTTCTCGTTCATTTATACCTTGATTTTTTGGTAAGTAGGGCACTGCTGTTAATAATATTGTCATTTTAGATGTTGTCATACATTTAACTTTCACTTTGACGTAAATTGTTATTTGACTTATTGTCCCTTTAAGTGAATGCTTATGACAGTCAGATTCTGTCAAACAGTTTGAGCAAGTGTAATTCTGTCGAATCATTTACATTATTCGCATACACAGGCGTAAGTTGCACGGTAAAGTGCAATGCATTCAGTAAATTGAAAATGTCCTAATTTACTTGGGATACTTTGCCCACGTATGTTTGAACGCATGAGTCTATGCTTAGTAATCACGTTAGCACCATTTAGCTTTTTTTCTAAGCACCCCTTTCTCGGTATCCGCAACGAAAACAACGGGAGTCAATGCTGTCTTGCATCACCATTTTGACAGTGAAATTTCCGTTCTAACGGTAGTTTGCCTATCCTAAGCTAACTTATGAAAAATTCCTACAGTTTGGCTAACTTTTACTACTTGTGAAACCTGCCACTTTGTACCTTGAAAGATTTGCGTCATGAAAGAGGAGTAATCACCACCGTATTGCTGAAGAGCAGGCACACAGCGGGTGCAGAAAAAGGTGACAAGCGGTGGCGGAGTAGGCCAGTCCTTGCCGTGACGTCACATCACCGCAACTGCTCCGGCAGCAGTTTTCATTCACGGGGATAGTACAGGTCGCATTGTTAGTGAAGCATGAACGTTATTTCCACTTTATTTTTAAGCAGGGAAACTTATGTTCACTTTACTTCCAAGCAGACGCGTGGCTGTGTGGTAGAACACTTGCTTGCCACAAAAGCAGCCTTCGTTCAATCCTCACTCGCACCAGAAAATTTTTACTAATTATTTAATTATCATTGTTCTAGATTTGTTTTTTGGTCAAGCACATTATGATTTTTCGCTCACAGCCAACGGTGCGGACGTCGACACCGATGCCGGAATTTCCACCAAACGAGCTCTTTAACGCTATAGCGTTAATAATGTCGTGTTTGACTTTATTTGGACTAAGGATGGGGCTTTGAAGCTCACTTCTTAGAGGCTTTATGTAGGTCTGCAACCAAGAAAAAAAAAAATGTGGACATCTTGCAGTAATGGTGTAAGGCTGGACAAACAGTGCAACTTGCGGCCGACTTAGATTAATAGCAAGCTTTTATTCAAGATGGCCTTAATTAGTGTGAGCTAAATTAGTACTATTCCAATCTGCATGGCAGTAATTAGCAAGGTCCTCTCCCTCAATTGCTGTCTGTATCGTTTTATATCTGTCTATGTTTTCTCTCTTCCTGTTCTTTATCTTCCCTTTATCTGTTTCACCTTTGCTATCGTTTTTTTTTTCGAAAGGCACGCAAATTGAAGTAATGTCTACATTGCACACCCATCGTGTCAACATCAATGGGTGTGCTGGCCACAAGCTTTATTATCCGCCAAATTACTAGGCGATACAGAAAAATGTACTATACCTATCCTCAATTTCTCGAATGTGCGACACCAAGAAGATACTGTCTTCGTTCATAGCAATTCGAAGATGACGAGGACGAACAGAGCACACGCTGACCGAGTTATTATTACTGTCACGCGCTAGGAATAGCTGTGCCAGGTCTTAGGGGACGTGAAATGCCATATAATTCACAACGCATCACACCGTAATAAAGCGTGGAAGAGAAGGATTGAGAAGATCTCCGGCATATGACACTTTAAAGAGATGGTATCGTGATGCAATAAAGAGCTAAGAGCGTTTAGTCAAAACAAAATTACACCATCTCCCGCTGAAGGGGACGATGCAAAACAGCGTCAGGGGGGCGGTGCACGCCGCGTTTGCAACGATTTGACTAAGTGATTCCGTTAATGTTGCGTATTTAGTGTTATCGTTTGTGCTGTGTTTATGTTCTCAAGTTTTTAACGCAGACACCTTAGTCAAACCGATGCAAACGCAGTGTACACCCTCCATGCTGCATCACACCGCCTCGTAGTCCCCTTTATAGGGAGATGGTGTAATTTTATTGAAGTTTGCAGCGTACAAGCACGGGCGCTGAAGCGAGGCATTCTTCACGGGTGTTGAACTCGTGTCATCCGTCCGCAGCCGACGCGTTGGCTCGACGCTGACACTTGGCTTCGACGTCGGCGTAGCGTACGGTGGGGTTCACTTGCCGACGCTGCATTTGAGTTCGGGCATGTTGAGCCCGCGTTTCATTCGTAGCAGTTTCCCGCCGACGCTGTCATGTGGTATAAGGAGTGGAGGCAGTCCTATCGCCACCCTTCCACCGTATATCTCCGCGCGCCGCTCTCGCGAGGAGAAAGTTCTCCCGCCTCCTCGCGCTCGCGCGAGAACGGGGAGAGTAGGCGCATGCGCCGTAAGAGAAGTCACGCCTCCCGAACACCGGAATGAACTCCGTCATAAGCTGCTTCGCATCTGAAATCAACAAATCTAAGCATCTGTGAGCAGATTGTCAAACACAGCGGCTAATGTACAAAGGAAAATTTGCCACTTGCATGGTTCTCTTTCTTGAGCTCACTTTTTACTATCATGGGATGGTACAAACGATGACTACGGTCAACATTTGTTATTTTTGACGGCGTTTGGCAAAGTAAAAGAAATATATATTAAGAGATTTGCGCATTACAGGTCTCCAGAATGCACATTAGTAGTATATTTTTTAACGTACAGAATGTCTTTGAGATTGAAATACAAGGATTCCCTTCAAGATTTATTGAACCTAGGTAACGAAAAGTACACGGGTGATATGATTTCGCTTACGCAGGTCAGTTGACAGCTGGAGAAAAAGTGGCATCAGGAACACCGACATTCCCAGATGGAACTATGCGCTTCTGCGGTGCCAGGTAAAAAATAGATTGAGTACACTCTCTAGCTTTTTTTTTTTGCTCCTAATTCTTTTTTCACAGCTTTTTCAACTTCCGCCAGTGTAGAAAAGAGCTGTTTTCCTTGTTTTTATATGTACAGTGAAGATGGCTAGCCTGACGGTTCATCTAGGGGGTGAAAATAGTTTGCATATGTTTGTAAAATACGGGTGAGTTTGTAAAATTCCGAATGCATCGTTAAACCTGAAAAGTATACGGAATATGCAGACATAATTTAAACCTAATAGTAACAATTGTGTGCCGATCAAAGGTGTGCCGATCACACAGGCAGTGCAAAACCCCGTTAGGTGCACAAAGCTTCCGGAGGGTGGCGTAGCAGGTTGAACACATCTAAAGTAACTGCACATGCTACCTTTGGGGTAAGGTAGCATATACATATTAACTGTAAACACATGGACTGTGAAGAAAAAAAGATATGGCTTTCATGTTCTATATAGTCGTCTTAGGTGAATCACTCTAAAAGTATTACATAAAACATTATTGCCGTATTTTTACAGCAGGAGTGTATGAATTCGAAGGGGTAGTTTTGCCGCTGCTCGCTTTGACGCGGCTTCGCGCTTTCATCCTTCCAGTTTTGTGATATTGCTATCACGAAAATTGTGGAAAGCGAGCGGTGAATTCGAGGATGGGGCACTCTATCGGCAAATTCAACACTCTGCCTACTGACACGTCATCACAAATGATCTCATTTTCTTTATCGTATTCGCTTGCTGTTTGCGAGCACCTAAATTAGCTTCCGCCGTATTTAAGCAATCAAGCCCTTCTCGCTCAAATGATTGGTCATACCTGCCACTCTTCATTCTTTTAGTCCATGGCAGCTAGGTCTCGTTTCAGGCACTCTAATGTTGAATTCCAATGGTAGATTGCGAGCGCTGGGCTGGATTGCGAATGGAGCGCGCAGATCTTCTCACCAAATCTGCGATTGGAATGTGTGCGTCTCGACGGGAGTTGTTGGTGAGCGGAAATCTAGCGAAGGAACACGTGAGGGTGCGATGGAGTACGAAGCGTTTTCCGGACATCCATCGGTGATTAGATGAAAGGCGGGCGCGCAGAATACGTCATTTGTACTTCCAGTCCAATCCGCCGATCTCGGCGGAGCGAGAATTCTTGCTCCACGGAGCAATCCGTGATCTGCGGTTGCTCTCAATTTGTCATTCGAAGACACAATTCACGCTCCCAATCCGCCATCGAAATGTTATTGCTCCGCTCAGAGCAGAAAAACTTGATCTGTATCTGCCATTTTAATTCAACATAAAAGAAGTTGGCCAATATACAGTCGTGTTTGTATGCTGCAGTGCTTTGCGTCAGGTCGTGACACCAATCCTCATAGACCGTGAGCCGGCTCTGACTTTAAACTGCTCTTTGTTATTGTACTTATTACTTCCCACTCATTTCCTTGAAAAATGCTCTCTCTTTTTGGCCGGTGGGAATATACTTGTTCATGGGCCCGAAGTAACTTTAACGGCATGACGCGCCTACTAATAGTCTTATTAGCCTCAAACTGCGATAGCTCCGTACTCTCATTATTCGGTGGTAGCGTACATCTGAGAATACAAGCACTTGTATTATAGTGCTGGTCAGCTGAAAGTGGTCGGTGCGTCTTGATATATGAACACAGCGAAGTCTCACAAGTGTATAGTTCTAGCTTCAATGTGAAATGGTCCTAAACAAAGTGCTTGAGAGTTTCTTTTTTAATTGTCGTAAGACAAAAGACCTTAAATGCTTCGCCAAACGCGAAAATCGACCATCGATGTTCAGCGGCGTCGGCGAGGATTGAAGCAAAACAAATAATCATTACGTGATGACGTCCACATACGTCATTGGGGCGTCAGATGCCAAAATTTGTGGCGTCGTTAGGACGTCATCATGTCGTCACTGCGACGTGACATCACATTATGACGTCATCACATGGCATTAATCGTACCTCAGTCAAACATGTGCCGATCACTTGGACAGTGCAAAACCCCGTTTGGTGCACAAAGCTTCCGGAGGGTGGCTTAGCAGGATCAACACATCCAAAATGACTGCACATGCTACCTTTGGGGTAAGGTGGCATATACATAGTAACTCTAAACGCATCGACTGTGAAGAAAAAAATAATATAGCTTTCATCTTCTATATAGTCATCTTAGGTGAATTCCTGTGAATACCGGTTAGCCTTTTATATACATGATGCAAGGAGATGTTGATGCACGGATAACGCATTGAGAACTTCTTGGTTCATAGAGTGATTGAACATAGAACATACATGGTTAGGAAATTACTTATAAAACAGCGTATTCCTAGTAACACCATATATAACAAATATGCTGCACATACTATATACAATACGAATAGCACAATGACACTTTTTTTGAGTACCTGATGTATAAACAACAAAATCTCCCGAATTCTTTACGTGGTGGTGTACGTATATTTTGCGTTATGAAAAGTAAGGATGTGTGACGTTGCAAATGTTCTGAAGGGCAGAAGGAAACAAATAGAGTTCCCCATTCATCATTACGCTTATCGTTCGTTCCGTTGAGGTCTTTAACTCCAGGCTGCAGTTGCCTTATTGTTAACGATGATATAAAAACATTTATAATGCTTGGTACCTATTGTACAGCACGTGCAATTTAACGTGAAATCACTAACGACCTTTTAAAGAAAACGTAACACATATCTCTTACCCAAGCAATGGTATTTCTGGTGTAGAAAGTCCTTAACGGCGCCCTTGTAGGTTTTTACTGAGAGCATCTCTTGTAACGGCTTGTGTAGCACTGTGCGAAAGAATGTTAATATGTTTTACAAATATGGTACTCTAGCGAATAATAATTGATTATTAACAATTTAATAATTACTGTTATCAATTACTCTTACGCACGTAGACAAATTAACGACTATTTCTAAACAATCATTCTTAGTTATCAACTACGCCACTGTTGATTATCCCTATATAGCGCAGGGACTAATAGAGGATGCTGTCATCGCAGATTTTTCTCGTGTACTTCATCGCCGGACTCAAGAAGACTGACCGCGATTGGATCGGAGGATACTCTATGGAAGGCCTGGGACAACACTGGGTTTTTGATCTGTTCAAGTATATCCCTATGTCATAACTTTTTAGTGTCTGAAATAGGCTGATGTAATCTATGTCTGGCTCTGAGAAAATCTTCATTTTGTTTCCAAGATACAGTTAAACCTGTAGTTATGCGCAGCGCGCCGCCTGGTACGGTAACAAATCTAGGTGGGTAGCCCTATATACCCGCAGCTGTTGACGTCGATGCCGGAATAGAGGGACAAATAATGCTCACTAAAATAACTCTTAGTACACTATGGAGCATCATGACGATGGGCACGAAGTGGGTAGTATGTACCGGCAGCACGGCAATGACGTCAAATACAGCCCAGAGTAGCTGAATTTGGATATACTCTGAAAGCACCATTGTCATGTTTCTGCGCCAGTTACATGGCCCTGTAGTCACCCTATCGCATGCATATATTGTGACCATTGAATTTCAGCAGCAAGAACTAAAGAGCTTAAGACGCCCAATATGAAACCGCTGTAATTCAATGCACATCATGGCAAAGGTTTGTGTAGTGTAGTATTGCATGCTGGGTCTAGTTGGGATGAATAAATTTGTTGTCAGCTGGTTTTTATGCTGTTAATGTGATCGCTACAACACCTATAGTGCCCGCTCATCAGAAGTTATATTTAGCACAGGAGAATGCACAATTTGAATCCACAGAACCAAGTATAGGTGAATACGCACGTTTGTGGTAAACTTCTCGCACGAAACATTTCACTTTCTTCAGCTAGAGTAATGAGACGCTGAGAAAGTGCAGGCACTTGATAATACAGAATATGCACGTCACTTCAAGAGAGAAACGACCCCTGAGCCATATATGCACCCGTCTGTTAAGCGTCATATAGAATGACGGAATTGTTTTCTGGCATAGCGTCCTTGCAGTAATGAGTAAGTGCTGCCAGATGAAATCATGTGCCCAGTTGCACAATGTGCGCTACTAGGAAACCTTAACTCTTCTCCTGCGGGCCCTTCAAAGTTGTGAGCGACCATAACGCCTTGTGTTTGCTAGCTAACTTGAAGTACCCTTCATGTCACCTCGCACGATGGAGTCTGAGACATGAAAAAATCGATGTTGCCATCACAACTTCTATTTCCATTTTCATTTCCATCGCTCGCTGCATCGTCTTCATGTAAGCACACACGAGTACTGCGTCGTCCCAGCATATACAGTTGCAAATTTTCTAGTATGCTGGCTGTACACCTGTAGTGGAGTCGCAAGCGAATTCGAAGGCTTTCTCTCATATCTTATTTGTTAAAGGTTATTCGCTTCTTTCAGTATGCATTTGGGTGGCAAATTACAGGCTGGTAATAACTGAAGAGCAGGTGGACGCATACGTAGTCCACTGGGGCGGATTCCTGCTAGACCTTACCGTCGGCTTCTTTATGGTTGCCTCAGCAGTGCGGCCCTTCGGAGTACTTTTCTGCGTCCTCTTCAACGCCATGAACTCCAGAATGTTTGCAATAGGTGAGTTCACTTCGTTATTTCGGCGGCTGCGAAAAATGGGGCACCACCACCGCAACTTGCACACACACTTCACCAGGGGCAAGCATACAAAGACGCAGTTGTGCTTTCTGTGAACCTTGATATGGGGAAGCGGCTAATATTTACGTAATTTTGAGGCAAACGAATGGTGAGCCAACCTGTTCCGGTGTATTATATAATTCGCTGAGCAGAAGGGGCACCCACCATTAAGCGGATCTGAGCAGCTGATGCCATCTTTTAAAGAAAGAAGGAAAATGGATTCCATATATGTCAGTGCCTCGACAGATTTGATATCTCAGCTCCGTTTATTTATATACACGGGCAATCGTTATTACGTGGAGTAATTGCAGAAGAATACTTAATACTAAAATTATTGCATGTAACATTTTTGTTATTTTTCGTTTCTTTTTCCGTCGCTTTATTTCTTCCAGTAGACAATAAATTGGCCCTTTTTTTCGTTGCACTGGCGTTGGGAAAGTAAAAACAATGTCTTGCCATTTCAGGAATGTTCCCGTACGTGATGATTGTGCTCACGACCATATTCTTCGGTTATTCATGGCCCAAGAAACTCGCAGCCATATTGCCTCAGTATATGCGGAATATGGTGCCGGACCTTTCCCCTTCGCGACCCGACTTCCTTAACTGTTGGTATCCTGGTCGACGTAAGGTAAGGCGCAAGTATACGAATGTCTTGCCGGCCAAGTAGCACAATGAACGCGTTCATATGCGTATTTATGTACAGCAAGATTGGAGAAACGCAGCACTATTTTGTTCGCCTTAAATCACTATGTCACTGTGCATGATTTAAACAGACTAACTGCAGATGGTTACTTAAGTCCTCAGCAATACGCGTATGCTTGATATCAGCAACCGCAGGTCACGGGATCGAATCCGGAGCCCGGCACTATGGCATATCCCACAATCATATCTTGCTTTTGGGACGTAAAACCTCATGTATTATTATCATGTCTTAAGGAGCTGGGCTTGAAGGCGCATCACCGTTCTTGTTCTTGTATATGCACATCTGCAGGTCAGCATCCACAGCACTGGCAGTAGAAAGGTCGAGCTTCGGCTACGCAGATGGAAGATGACGGCGTTCCTCGTCTGCCTGCACGTGTTGTTGCAGCTCTTCCTACCATACTCGCACGGCATCACCAAGGGCTACAACACGTGGACGCAGGGAAGCTACGGATACTCCTGGGACATGATGGTGCACAACTGGAGGCCCGTGCACGTTAAGCTCGTTCTCTACGACAACGCCACGCACAGGGCTCACTTCGTCGACCCTGAGGCAAGACACGCCATAGCACAACCACGCGTACCTGCACTATAACAGAGCACTGCCACACCCACTCTTTTATTTCTATGTTTTATGCTACCTGCACATTACACGTGTAAATACTGCCTCATGCAAACCGCACCATAATATCTGGGAGCATTCCAGAAAAATTTAGGATGATGTGATATCCTTGAGCATGCAAACGCGAACAGCGGAGTTCATTATCGAACAAACGCGCCCGCCAGCGATAATGATCGAATGTTCCATGCTGCATGACGCGCATTGCCATGGATCAGATGATAAAGGCATAATGAGTAGTGGATCAGGGAACCAACAAAGATAGCCGATATCTTTATTACCACCAAATCTGTATTCACACGACGGACCAAATTGTGATTCGAGCCTGCGGATTGTGTACTACCTCACCATACGTCCGCCGTTCCCGTTTCGGTCCACGCGGAGCGATTTGTAAAAGAACGGAGGCCAAAGTACAGTTGGGATTTTCATGGAGGAAACGCCTTCTAATGTGAATCGGCAATTGGACGATCGACCGCTCTCCGTGCAGATGCTACTAGAGCACCATCCCCATCACTCGAAGGCCGTTAAAGCGCTATTGTGTTTCTTAGAAACCTGGGCCTTTGTGAACGTCTGTGACTACTGTGCAGTGCCAACGCCACATAAGTGTTAGAGTGTTTGTTTATAATTTCATATCTCTTTTTTTATTGTGCTCCTCTCTCATGTTTATACGCCCCTTTCCCTCTTCTCCCGGCGTAGGGGGGCCAACCGAACTGGTGTTTTGTAAATCTTCCTGCCTTCTCCCTTTTGTATTCCTTTAGTTTTTCCTTCGGGGAGCTATGTCGAAATCCTCGCCTGCAGCGCGGATTCTCCCCTGTCGTGTGAATGCTGGCCACGGAGAGATCCGATTCACGTCATATATGACTTGATTCATTCGTCCGCAATCACGTCCGTCGTGTGAATAATAACTTAAGAGGCAGGAAGAAATGACATCTCACGTAATGCATAGTTCAGATAACTGATGGTCAGTTAAGTAACGGAATGAACACCAGGATGTGTAAAATGCAGCCGAGGGTGGCAGAAGGTTAGGTGGGGTGATGAAATTAAGACATTTGCCGACATAAAATGGAATCAGCTCGCTCAGGGCAGAGTAAATTGAAGGTCATTGGTAGAGGCCGGATACAAGATACGCTGATACTAATGATGTGAATTTGATACAGTTTCATTAACCATGGCCAAAACTATGTATTTCACGTGAAATCGTATCGTATCTTCCACTGAGTTGCACGTTAAATACTTGCATTGCTTTTTCGTTTTGTTGATTCAATTCTTCTTAGATCGCAAATCACACAAAAGTGTTGCGGGCAGGCAGTTCTCCCAACTATAAAAGATGCTGCATACATGCGCTATGGGTATTTTACAGCACGGACATAGATTTAAATATATGCGTATGCATAGTGTATCGTATTGTTCCCGACTCTAAGAATATTGACGAGTTTGCGTCGAATGAAAACGTGGGCCTATATCGCGAGAAACCGACACTACGGTACATTTTCCCTTCCGTTTTTTTTTCTTTTCATCTTTTTGAGAAGTTCTCACGCACCACATTTCTAGTGATTGGCCCTGAAATTTCAAGCTAAGTCACGTTTCCTGGTTCATTGTCGTTTGCGTATTTCGCGTGAATCCGCAGCCAAGGAAAAATTTTTATCACACGCCAAAAGCCAGAAAGCCGGCCGTTTCCTTTTTTATTCTGGCGGTATGTATGTTTCCCTTTCAGCCTTTTTGTTTGTATTGTTCAAAAGTGAATCCAAAACGTTGTGTATTGCTCTGATTTCGAGCAAGACATTACGCAGCCTTTCTGAGACGTGTAGGAAGCGCCTGGGAACAGAAAGTTCCGCTTTATTTTTCCGGCGAGCATTATATACTTCTTTTGTGATTTTTTTTTTCGAACAGGCACGCCTTCATTCTTCACTTGACACGTCCGATGCCCGCGTATCGGATATTTACGATAGCCACGCAAACGAAATGGCTGCCGAGACAAAGAAAAAAAGTAAAACAACTTGCACATTACGCACAACTCGCAGATTATATTTCTGGTATGTGCGCTCACGTGCGAGCTGCATTCGCGAACTTATCATGACAATGCATATGCGCTGTGCGTAAATGCCGTTGGAATGGCATTCGTCTTTCAATGTTTCATTCATTTATTCATTTATTCATTTATTTTTGAAGATAAGTGAGGAGGAGTATGTACGCTCACACACCTATCACATTCTCTGTCGCCTCAATAGCGAATACATACTGTAGCGATAGCCATATTTCTTCCGCAGTACAGAGCGAGCTTCGTCGCCACCGTTGTGAGCGTGGTGATTTCTAAGAAAGAGCCCCAAAAATAAAGTTCTAATCTCTGCGAAGTTATGCTAGTGATCACGCGTATATTGCATGGATATTGTCGCGAAAGAAGATGCACCCGATAACGAGCTCCGGTTTTTTTCTTTCTTATCACGCGCGTTCGTGTTGTCTAACTGCAGAAGTTCACCACTTCGAGGCGGTGGTACCACCAGGCAGACATGGTCGTCCAGTTCGCCCACTGCATACGTGACAGAGTCCAGCAGGACTACGGAATGAAGGACATCGAAATATACGTCGACGTCTGGATGTCGCTCAACGGGAGATTCGCGCAGAGGTGCGTGTGCACGTGCGAGTGTGTGTAAAATGTACACAAGTACACACAAAGTACGCAACATACACAAAGTACACAGCGCACAACGTGTAATTGGCTATGAAAGGGAGGTTTTCTCGTAATCTTTTACGACGCGAACCCTATTGCAGCTCGCATTTGTGAAACGACCAACCCTTTGAAATTAAAGAGTCCTGTTGTTTTGATTAGTGCCATTCATGTAGACTTATAGAACTACCAGTAGAAGAAAGAAAGAACCTAGTTAGAAAAATCTCTAAAACATGCTCAAAAAGAGGGGGGGGGGCTTGAAAAGAGACTAAAATAAAAAAAGTAGATGGCAATTCATAAATATCATATGTTACGCAGAATAAGAGCATAAAAGACGAGGGGGACAGTGTGGTAACTTCGCTGTGATTATCTTCCGTGACGTACGTATTTCCTCATGATGGCAGAGCCTACTTCCTTTCTTACGATTTCCGACAGCGCCTCGTGGAAACGCAATGCGCAGAGAACACATAGGAGCAGTTAGGGTTTTCTATTCAGCAAGTGAAACATGAAACTACTCTCCTCACTGAGAAAGAGCGCTGAAACGTGTCATGTTGGCAGCAGCATCGTAACAGGGGCACACAAACAACTGCTGAGTACCTTTGCAATACCTTGTACTTTCCGATGTGTGCCTTCTTTGCTTGCATGAAGCAAAGAAGTAGCGAGCACCTCTATATACGAAGCGCTAACATCTCCACAAATACATTCGTTCATAAAAAAAGTGTGGAAACAGTTTACAGAGGTACACGCCACAATTTTATGTCTCCCAAATGTGAACTCGTAACCTGATCTGCTAGCTACAGCATAGCAAGCATACGCTCCGAGCAACGCGCGTGGTGGTGGTTATAGCTTCACAAGACGCAGGAACAGCATGTAAGCTTAAAAATAAAAACCTTGAGTCGCGCCTCTGCTATCTTCCAAATATCTTAGGGTTCTAGTGACTTACGGTGTCAGTGTTATTTTTTCTTGTAAGACCGTCAGTCTCGTAGAGCCCGCTGGCTATCACGCTCTCTCTCTCTCTCTTTGTGCACGATTCAAGCTACTCTTTTTCCAGAGAACTTACAGACTGAATTGTGCCAAGGAAAGTGTAGGAGATGTTATTAGAAGTAACTGTAATGTAACTACGAAGAAATAAAAGTGGATCAAAAGATAACTTGCCCTGGGCAAGGACTGAACATGTGACTTTCGAATAACGCATCCGATGTTCTGCCAACTGAGCTACCACGACACGTCCGATGCTCTACCAACTGAGGTACTACGGCTCCATGGTAGCTCAGTTGGTATAGATCACCGGATGCGTTATTCGCAGGTCGCAGGTTCGTTCTCTGCCAGCGGCAACTTATCTTTTTCGTACACTCTTCTTTATTCCCAATTATATTACAATTACTTCTAATCGCAACCCCTATTCCTTCCTTGACATATTTGTCTGTCAGTTCTCATTAATATTGTGTCTAACAAGTCAAGTCAAGTTTATTTCCAACAACATCAAGTCGGAGGCCCTTAGGCGAAAAGATGTCAGAGACATCTTGAGAGAGCCCAAGGACCCTTCAAGAGCAGTAGGCATTTTACAAAAATATCGCAAACAAAATGAGCCCTCGAGTTTACCCTTCTTTATTTCTTTTTCTAAAAAAAGTATTCGACCATTTGAAAGTATACCGTGAACTGTGTTTAAAACCCTGAGAAAAGCACGTTGCCTTATACGTGGCTTAGGCAAGCGTTTTTAGTCAGACAGTTCAGTACATAGCAAACTCTTTGAAATAAGTGCATGCACACTGAGGGATGACGGCGTACCCACCAATTTAACAAACCATTACATCATTCTGACCATAAGTTTCTGTGTATGTGTTGATATTTAAGTGGCCCGCTGTGGCCGCTCAAAGGTGATCCGGAGAGACCACGTAATGTAGTTATGTACATATATATCCATGCCGTGAAGCGTTCGGTGATTGCGCAATGTTGGCGGATTTAAATCCTTCGGCATCCGGGGTGCAGGATGTACGACCCAACGGTGAATATCCTGGAGCAGCCCTGGTCGCCGTTCGTCGAAGTGCCATGGGTGCTACCCGTGCTCAGAAACTTCAGTGAGTGGAGGGAAAGCTTCAAGAAGGTCCGGGGTCGAGTGCATGCTGCTTCAACGCTGGCTGATGTCGAATTCATCGCCGACTTTCCAGGTAATTGTGAACGTCGAGTGACAACTTTCACTGGATACATGGCTGCTATGCTGGCTTCCCTGTCGGCCTCGATTGAACAGTGGCTAGTATGCTCGGCTGCTTACCCGAAGGTCGAGGGGTTGTATCCCGGCCACGGTGGTCGCATTTTGATGGAGGCGAAATGGTAAAGGCCCGTGTACTGTGCTGGGTCAGCATAGTCAAAAAATACCAGATCACCGAAATTTCCGGAGCCATCCACTACGGCGTCGCTCATAACCATATCGTGGTTTTGGGACGTATAACTCAAGATTTTATCATTCTGCTGACTTTCCCTTGCTCGGTATGAAGGCGCACGCGTATGTTTTTGCAGCTTACAAACATACATTATCAGCCACTCATATCCTGTCAGATTGAAAACAAAAAAAAAACTCATTTAGAAATGAGTAGTATTCAGCAGCGTGCAGACTATGTGTAGATGCCTGCCTCAATTCTTACGTTACTAATTTTTGTCGTCCGTCCAGGCCTATCAAAAATTTTCACATGTTATAGCGCATAATAAATACAGTTTCTCATGTGTATGTCATCCTCGAAATCCCAAATGATTAGATAGTAAACGTGCCATCCATCCTCGTCGCGCGAGATGCATTGAGGAATTCCGGGAGGAGGGAGACGGGTTGCGTGGCTCCGGGAACTTTGTACTTTGACCACCCGGGTGGGATCGTCCGCGGTTGCGCGTGCCGTATCTTGACAGAGATCAGCAGATGACTCATATCTTCATAAGTGCTGTATTCTCACCGCTGATTTCACGCAGAAGTAGTATGTAGGTCGCTTGGCTCGCTACAGTTGTCACATTTTCTTGAGTCAGCATTTTGTTGATTATGCGAGTTAGGACGCTAAAGGAGTTCGCTGATGGCTTTGCTGCACACTTGCGGCGAAGCTCACTGAGGTAAGCTTTCTAATGGGGCATTTGAGAATTTAGCCTTCATTAGGTGCACGTTTAGATGCACATCCCGACAGGCTGATTAGATCCCTGATTGGAAGAACCTAGCTACCTCCAGAGATATCAACAAATTATGACTGTAACCAATATCGGAAGTGAAGTTTGTTCAGACATATATCTGATGTCCGGCCTCTGTACCGTATTTTTATTCTTTAGGTTTTACGCGCATAACATATTTACATGTATTCTCAGATACACTATTTTGTAGTGTAAATTTCTGTGTTTTGCATCATATAAAGTGCACTGTTTTTTATTTTATAATTTTAGCACATGCAATCTGTGTGCTTTTGGGACATACTTCAATGCGCACTTTTTCTCGCAATGTTTTATATTCATTTTGCGATGTTTATGTAATTTCGGTATCGTGTACGTTATACTCGACTCATGTTACTTGTCCATCTGTATAATAATCGGAAGTAATTACCTCCTATCTTTAGTGTCGAAATTAAGGGTAAAATTGAATGTAAATACATACGTAATACAAGAAAGTTTATTAAACTACACTCAAGTGTCTTAGCTTGGTTGGTCAGAGGTGTCCCCAGATTAATGTTGATACTGAGAGTTTCTAGAAAACGGCTGCATATAAAAATATACCTGAACGCGTTCCCATTCTGGCTTCGCCGCGGAATAAGCAGTCACGGGGATGTATTGAACTGGCGCTCTATAGATAATGCAAAGCTTGTAAAATAGCTTGTAGAATGTCTCCCTCAGCTTATATATAAATGGGTGATATTATCAAAGAAAGAATGAAGGAAATTAAACGAGATAGTCCTGCGCGTTCAATAAATATTCGAGGTCCGGGAACACCAATCGAATTTTGTGGTAGTTTATCTGATCGCACTGATTCTATTCAGCTTTGTTCGTCCGTCTTCTTCGGGATGCATGACGCAGCATCACCGTTGAAGTCGTGCCAGCTATTCGGTACGGCCAACAAGAAAGTGGAAAAATAACTGGAGGTGAAAAGCTCGTTTGAATTATCTAGACTAGAGCACTACACGGGCCTGGGCCGGTCCGAAAGCCCGGGCCGGGTAAGGCATCATTGCATCGAGCCCGGACCTGAGTAAGGCTTGTATAAAGCCCGGGGGTCATATACAGGGTGTTTCAAGAAATGGGTCCAATATTATATAAAGATTAACGGAAGGAGTTATCTGCGCGCTACTTGCAACGTTCCCTTTGGCAGAAGGCTTCTTCAGTCTTATAGAGACATTTATTACGGCAGTAATTAAAAAAATAAACAATAACCTTTTCACTGAGGACGTTGTCGAAGTGAACCGTAGATGCGATGTTTTGTGCGTTGGTTTCGGTATCGCCAGCTAAATTAGCCAAATTTTATCGATCCGCGGGGATCACCAGCGGCCGCCTTTCCAAAAGTTCGAAGTGTCTACAGACTATTGGTGTGGAAAAACTTTGATTGGCCCATTTGACTCGACCGGCTATCTCGACTTGTTAAAAATGTGATTAAAGTTAACAATTTCTATAAGTATTGCTGTAATTAATGTTTCTGCACATATCAAGTTGCCTTCTTCCAAAGTAAAATTAATGCCGCAAGTAGGACGTATAGATGCGTTCTTTCTGTAATATTTTAATAATATAAAATACATTTCGTGAAACAACCCGCTTATCAATGTAACAGCGTGTCTACGCTGTTTGTTTTTGTTTTTTTGTTTTGGAGGGTTTAGCATCCCGAAGTGGCCCAGGTTACGTAAGATGGCGTATTTGAGGGCTTCGGCTAATTCTGAACATGCATGCTCAAAACGGTAAGTAGAAGACGTGTATAGCATTTCACTCTGTCGGTATGCTACACCTAATTTAAAGAAACTCGTAATATAGACTTCCACTATATTGAGTGAAAGACGCTCTTGAATACCGTAGGGAAATGTTTGCCAGGTGTTGCTGCTGCAACAGCAAAGGTACACTGGTAACGTTATATAGTGTATATAAGATGGACGCGCTTACACTAAGGAAAAAGTTAAGAATATGCACATACGCTCACATGGCCGCCACACCTTTCTCCGCATGGGTGCTATACAGACTCGTTAGCGTGACTGCTGAGTCATAAATATATCAGGTACTTTTGTTGGTGCACTTTCAGCGCTAGATGCGGAGTGAGTCTTATCACATGCGTGTGAATCGATGCAAATGGTGCCGGTTTTTTGTGCTATAGTAAGACAGTTGCAGATTTTTGGCACTTAAAAATTAGCCAAAAATGTTGCATTTAACTCAAATACCCATCGTATAGAGTTTTTTTTTTTGCTTATTTTCACGGCCACCTTTGAGTTTTTCGTATTTATACAGTAATCCATAAGCATCCTAATTTGTCCAAGCGCTAGTGTTCTCATGGCACTCAACAAGATGGAAGCACTTCCGCGGACGAAGTAAGAGCTCTATATAAGGAAGGCCATGATTATGATGTTGATTTACTGCTGTGCCTTTGAAAAAAAGAAGGGAAGGGATTGTGTATAGGCAAAGGGTGTATTGGCAAATTTCCCCGCATAAATGTCCGATGACTCCTGCGGCACCTCGAGTTCAGAAATTTTTCATTTCTTCAGACATCTTCCCCCCTTTTCGTCGTTTTTGGATATTAATGGATAACTAGCACACATCAAAATTGGACAAATGAGCCCCTACTCTTGTGAAAAAAATTTGCGTATACAAATTACAAGCGATTAGCTTATCTTTTCTTGGTGTCTGCAAAGGACCAACCTGCTTGCGTCGCATAGTATCGCTAGCCGCATAGCTGCTTCATTAGGGATCTCATGTGCGTTGAAAATTTCGAGAATGCCTGTCGCTTGACTCATCGAAGTATCTCTGGCGGGCATGCTGCTTCTTGTTTGCCCTCCACCTTTTCTTCCCACACGTAGTCGCCACTTTTTTTACTTTCTGTCATACATCTTCTTCGCCTACATTGTCGCTGCCGCGAGCGGAAAACCAGGAACCACAGCCGCACTTCACTGCCCTGTTCGCGCCGAGGCCTTCAGCCATCGGCGACTAGGCAACCCATTCTCCTGCTTCCTATCCCTGCGGGGGATCGCGCTCCGGACACCGATACACCGTGTTCAAAGGGGAGCGCTAAAAAAAAAAAAAAAGCCGCTGGCTGTTCACTTTGTCGTTCTAATTGACAGTTGTTTTGGATACCCTGATTACAATATTGGTTTACTACTATAGAAAATTGCACGTGACCCGGACTAAAGAGACGAATAAGGGCACAGAAGAGCAGAGACTTGTTTGTTCTTGGACTGTTCCAATTAATGTACGCCATGGTGTGGACCACTGCGCTGAGCGCCAATAAAGGCTCCAGAGAGATTTCCCCACAAACACATTACACACTCAAAGATCGAAGGCCGCCACAAAAAGACAATTATCGAGACAGGCATCTTCAGGGAACAACGAGGATGGCGGCTCACTTGCTAATGGCTGCGGTTCGCTTTGACAGAACTGTGGAACTGCGACGGCGGTCATTCGGCGAATAAGGGTGACACAAAAATGTTAATTTAAAAAACCCAGAGCAAAAACGACAGGAAAAAAAGGAAGAGAGAGGACATAGCGGTGACTTACTAATCTTTATTTAGAAATGCGAACACATATATATCATGGCAGGCAAATAACACGTGTCTACTACAATATCACAAATGTCGCACGAACGTCACCATCACCGTATCGCCCCTCTGCCTCACCGCGCACGTGTTCATCTCAAAGATAAGAAATCAATCTCTTTTTGAGAGAGGGTTACGAACGCCCTAATAACGCATTGATCTTTAAGGCATGCGATTTCAGCCACTTCCATTATCTCCCTAGTTATCTCCCTAGCATGCCGCAGCTCTGCCCAATAAATCATAAATTCAGCTACATATAATGCGCGGAAAATGTTGTGTATTCTATCCTGCTGTCCTGTAGAAAAATATACGTGGGCCAAACAGGAAGGTGCGTAAACACAAGGTTGAAGGAGCACAAGTATAATGTGAAGAACACTATATTAGCGGTCCTCTTGGCATCCATTGCAGGGATTGGGGCTGCACACCAA